GGTGTGCTTGCAGTCCAGCAGCTTGGGCCGCCGGCGGGGGCTGTAGTAGTTGAAGCAAATCTGGCACTCCAGCAGAGAGTCCTGGGACAGTGTCTCCATGGTGGCTGGCATGGGGAGGTGCAGCAGGCCTTGTGATGAGCCGCACCCTGACACCCCGAGCCGAGGGGTACACCTGCCTTCCCACCACTTCTCCTCAGGGCAGCACCTTCCTTCCCAATGCAGCTTCTCTGCAGGGCAGTGCCCTGGCAGCAGCTATGGTGAGCACAGGAAAACCTTCAGCCTGAAGCTTTCAGTACCTGAAACAAACAGAAAAACATGAAGGAAAAGGTTACTCACAGGAACCAGTGGGAACAAGAGAGTCCAGCTAAGGGAGAATGAAAACTAGCGCTGACCTTGTTATCTGGTGGGAGAAACAAACTTGCACCCTTAACTAGAAAGCATCTTCTCACTGGCTTCACCCAACAGCCCAGTGGCAAGCTTTCAGGTCAGCCATCGCTAGGTCTCCCTTTTTATTCTTTTTCTTTTTAAATTTTCCCAGCAATAAAATCTCCATCAACCCACAAGTCCTCCACTCACAGTTACATTTATGCCCATAACAGATGTGGCTTGTAGTTCACTAGCCAGGTCCTTCAGCAACTACCTCCTGTCATTTTCTCAGGACTTTTCAGTCCTTCCTGCACCTTAACAACTGTTCTCATTTAATCCTTTAAACCCCTGAGGATTTTTAGCTATTTGGCTCAACTGCTAAGTCTGCATGAAAGGTGGGGGAAAGAAAAAGTATGTTTAAATGGAAGCATTTCCACAGGCTCCTGATCTTAAGTCTGTGCATGAATGAGCACCCATGTAACTATACCCAAACACCCACATTTGCACATAATGAAAAGGAATGGCACCATTTTCAGTGAAATTAACTGCCTAGTTACACAAGTAGCTTGTTGAACATGGCCCTCTGAAACATAAACCTCACTGATAAAACCCACACCAAAGACAAAAGGATCTGTTTAGACCCAGGACCACCAAAGGCCTCACAGAACAATCTGATAGTGCACTGAATTAAAAGTAAATTGTCACTAACCTTGTTCTAAACTATTCCTTATAAAGGGATTCCCTTTATAAATCCTGTTTCCCCACCTTTTACTTATAGCTTTGCAAGAAAAGGCATCTGCATTTACTTTCACAGTGAGTTGTTCAGCTTTGTTTGATTTTGGTCACTCCAACCCATGACTAATACGAAGGGGTGACATTTTTACAACTTTTTACATTGTCTTCCTTTCTGTATTTCAAGAAGTATCAACCTGAATTTGCACCCAGGGAATACAATAATGAAAACCTAAAATATTTGCATAATGACTTTGATCTTACTGCAAAGCTATTCCCAAACTAGAGTTAATATCTGAGGACCACAGCAGCCAGAGGACTTCTTCCTTTCCTCACAGTAATGTCTTGCTCTCCTCTCCAGACCACAGCAACTAGGTTGCAACACACTAATCGATGGGTGATGTCAGCAAAAACAAATAACATAGTTCAAGAAGAGAAGGCAGGCACAGACATGGGGTTTGTAGTGCAGGACAGTGCTCTGCACCACACTGTCTCATATCCTGCTTTTGGCAGTCACCAGTATTTGAATAGGGAAAACAAACTATACGTCACCTCTTCAGATGCTAATGACTGATATCACGGACATTGGCAGAACTGGCCCTGCTGCTGATTTTGTAACAGCAGTGGATTTTGGCTCGCAAGAAGCTTCAACAAACACACAGTCACAATCCTGACTCAGGAGGGAGCAGGGGCTGCAGTTATGAAGGCAGGAGCCTGTGAAACACATACATTGGCTGCAGGGGGAAATGGCACCTGCTCTGCACCAGCACCATACCACACAAGGCGTTAACAGATACTCTATGTGCAGGGTGACCTGAACAGAAGGGGCTACACATCCACTGCCTGTGTGCAGGCCACACCAAAGGAAAGTGGAAGAAAATGCAGAGATGTTTTACCTTCTCTATTCTCTTCTCCATTACTATTCTCCATATCCCTAAGGTACAGGAATGCACAAATGAAGACTGTCAGCAAGAGGCAGACATGTTAATAGACTAGCATGCAGCTGAGAGAGAAAAATGGACGAGAGCAATCCACGATGCTGTGCAATTCCTAGCTGAAAAAAACATTAAGAGGCAAAGGCCAGATTAGAAATTAGTTATAGGAACTCAGGAAGGAATCACTGAAACAATCAGGTCCAGTTTTCAGTCACAAGCAACCCAGCAGCTTTATATTTTGCACAGGTGTATCCATACAAAATCTTCACTGATATGCACTATCCGAGTCAAAGCTGAGCTCAGACATTACAAGATGCAACTCTTGTAATGTCTGCGCAAACTCTTGTTTGCATCTGAAAATACATATTTTAAAAAAACAGGTATAACAATACTGCAGTATTATTATGAGAAAAGCCCCAATGCCTGGAAATTCAGAAATTAAAGTTTACCATAGAATCATAGAATGGCCTGAGTTTGGAGAGTCCTTAAAGATCATCTAGTTCCAACACTCCTACTGTGGGCAGGGATACCTTCCACTAGACCAGGTTATTAGAGCTCCATCCAGCCTGACCTTGAACACTTCCAGGGATGGGTCATCCATTTCTCTGAGTAACTTGTCCCAGTGCCTCACCACTCTCAGGCTAAAGAATTTTTCCTAATATCTAATCTAAATGTACTCTTTCAGTTTAAAACCATTTTCCCCTTGTCCTGTGACTACTCTGCCCAAAGACAGAGTGGAGGTACTCCTGCAGATGTAAATCAGTTTCTCTGCACACAAGCTCTGCCCTCCATGTTTTGGATGTCAGTGGACTAACTGACTGGTGAAGTTCTCTGACCTCATTTAGCTGTCATCTACAACCATCTCCCTCCACAAACAATGCTAAAGGTAAAAGTTTCTATTGATGTGAATAGGAGTGGGATTAATATAGTTTTTCTGACCACATCCTTTGTCCCTGTCACATCTTTACAAGTAGAAGATTAGTACCAGGAGAGAGTGCCATGAAGTATTCGGAACTAAAGAATAAAATGCAAGTCACTTCCAGGTAAACAGTGCCCCAAGGAAAAAGAAAACCCATCCCAACAAGATGATCTTGGCTGGTTTGAATGCTAAGTAATGCTGTGAAGCCTTTCTCTAGAAGGTGAACATTTTAAAGCACGAGTGCAACCTACAGGAAGAAGAAGAATGGAGCCAAGTTAAAAGGTTAAGATTGGGTTTACCACCTACATGACATAAATTGTTCATACTTCCCAAAAATGTCTCAAATAATGATCAGAGGTGTATTTGACAGATCACAGTAACAACCAGTACGCAGAGTAGTTAGTGTGATTCCTTCAGAACATGACTAAAATAGTAGCCACAGCCATCTAACCCCTTGGTCTTTGCTGACATCCCCTTGTTCAAAGACTGGATGTGTAGCTTCATGGATGCAATATAACTTTATTTTCAACCATACTGAAAGTGCCACAACCCTCTTGCACTCTGCCACAGCTCAGTTTGAAGATAAAAGAATGTCAAGCCATCATCTACAGTCAGAATCAAACTGCATAGTATCTATTTGATAAATTTTGCATTATGGGAAAATGCCATGGGAGTTCTCTCAGTACTCTTCTACCACTTCACTTTAATAACTACGCCAAGAGGAGCAGATCTTTTCTTGGACAAGGGACTGAACTCTCCAGTTTGCGCTCAGTGCACACTCATCAGCTGATGGTACTGAGCTGTCACAGGTGAACACCTCGCTTACTCAGACTGGACTCTTCTCTGTGCTTCAAACACAAAGGCCAAGAGATAGCTGGGCTGCACATGAGGGCACAGCCAACAGCATCAGCTAAACCCATTGTTGCATCATTATCTGCTCTCGTCACACAGTGACACTCAAGGCAGAAAAAGGCACAGTTGACAGGAAAACAGAGGGGTGGAAGCAAAAAATACTGGCAGGGATATCTGTATGTCTCTGCAAGAGAGACAGCATGTATACAAGTGTTGATAGGGGCATGCACGTGGAAGGTGGGGCTGGGGACTATGACAGTATAACCACACACAGAAGCAACTGCAGCTGTGAGTAGTGACTCTGCCTGGCACAAACCTGACAGCAACTGGAAGCTCTTCAGGGCTGAGATCTAACTAGTAACACAAATGAAAACTAACTGGATATGACAATCCACAAGCTCCAAAACTCGTATGTCAGAAAGGTGCAGCAGGAGCAAAGAAAGCAAGAAGAGACAGATCATGAAAAGAAGCATCAGGAGACATCTCTGCCTCCCCTGCACCATCTTTCCCTTAGTGTGCATCTGCCCAATATCCACAAGGTTGCCACTGGCTGGCAAGGCAAGAGATTCACAAGCATTTACAGAGACCCAGGGAGGAACTTGCGAAGCTGATGACAGGGGAAGGTCAAAATACAGCCAAGTGGCTGAGAGCATGTTAAAAAGGTCCTCCTTGCAGATTTGGACTGCCCTCTGTATAAGCCACAAGTTTTTGAGATTTGAGAAATGGTGTGATTCATGCAATAAAGCTCTGGGGAATAAAACAGGTATTCCAGCTGTTTGTCAGCCATGCTATCTGTTCTGCCAGTACCTTGTTGGAGGCCACGGTGGAGCCTCAAGCTCTCTTTATTTGCGCAAGCA